CGATAAAACTAATATCGTTATATCAATTTTTATAACGCTTAAGTACCAACCTATAAAAACAAAAAATAAATCCCTGTTAATATTGATAACCTATCAATAATTATTTCATTAATAGATCCCTCATTGTTGTAACTTTGTATTACATGTAAAAAATATGTAAGATTTTACGTATCTAAGATTATAACAGCATACTAGAATAGTTGAATGGGTGAGCAGGGGAGGAGTGGGAGGTTAAATGGGGTACGATAAAATTAATATCGTGATATTAATTTTTATAACGCTAAAGTACCAACCCATAAAAACAAAAAATGTATAACAAATAAATCCCTGTTAATATTGATAACCTATCAATAATTATTTCATTAATAGATCCCTCATTGTTGTAACTTTATATTACATGTAAAAAATATGTAAGATTTTACGTATCTAAGATTATAACAGCATACTAGAATAGTTGAATGGGTGAGCAGGGGAGGAGTGGGAGGTTAAATGGGGTACGATAAAACTAATATCGTTATATCAATTTTTATAACGCTAAAGTACCAACCTATAAAAACAAAAAATAAATCCCTGTTAATATTGATGACCTATCAATAATTATTTCATTAATAGATCCCTCATTGTTGTAACTTTATATTACATGTAAAAAATATGTAAGATTTTACGTATCTAAGATTACAACAGCATACTAGAATAGTTGAATGGGTGAGCAGGGGAGGAGTGGGAGGTTAAATGAGGTACGATAAAACTAATATCGTGATATCAATTTTTATAACGCTCAAGTACCAACCTATAAAAACCAAAAAGGCAAAAAAAAAAAAAAGAGAAAAAGAAATAAATCCCTGTTTAACATATCGATGTATAATCCATCAATGATTATTTAATTAATAGATTGTCCTAACTTTCTATTACATGTAAGAATATGTAAGGATTTACGTATCTGGGATTGTAATAGGGCACTAGAGTAGTTGGATGGGCGCCCGATGGGGGGGTGGGGTGGGGGAAGGGGGAAGGGGGGTTAGGTGCGGTACGATGGAACTATATCGTGGCATCGTTTTTATCCCCAATGGGACTCTTGTTTCGAAGATGGATCCACGAACGCCAATGATCCTTTATACGCACGAAGAAAACCCTCAGGGTAGAAACACATCAAAATCTAATTCACCAGATGTCCAGGAAAACGAATTCCCTCTTTCACTACCCCTTCAACATCTAGCAACCCTCTAACCGTACAACTAAACCCTCTTCCTCTTCTACTCGCGTTCTAAACACCCACCAAGTCGCTCCCATCCCCTTTTAGTTGTTGCCAGAGTCGACATTGTGGCGACTAACTCTAACGATGTTAGGACACCAAAGCTATTGGGCTTATCTCTCTCTCTCTCTCTCTCTCTCTCTCTCTCTCTCTCTCTCTCTCTGTCTGTCTGTCTCTGTCTGTCTTTCTCTGAAGGACGCATCTGCGTCAACCATGACAACGATTTACTACTACAGGGTGAGAAAGAAATTCGATTGAAAGAAAGACATAGGACTCAGGTGTTTTCAACCCCTACTTGTAAACTCTTCAAACGTTCGAGATTTTTTTTGTCTATCTTTCTCTCTCCCTTTCTCTCTCCCTGTCTTTCTCTCTCTCTCTCTCTCTCTCTCTCTCTCTCTCTGTCTCTCTCTCTTTTCTTCTTTTTCTTTTTCTTTTGGACACAGGGCAGAAGATTTGGGTCGAGAGATTTTTCGTGATTTTCCTTTTTTTTCCACCACTGGATCTTATCTCTTACCTTTTTTTTTGCGTTTTTCAACATTAACGTTAAAAATCACTTCGCAAAATTATATTTAATTTTACGTTACATTTTGTTATATTTTATTTTTATTTAATTTAATCAGATCTCTTTAAATGGTGATTGAAAAGGTTCGAACGAATGATTTACAAGTGAAATTCGTTTGTCCTTATCGATTAAATTTATTTCACATTTCTGTTTTATATTGGAAAAAAAAAAGAAAAAAAATGGAAAAAAAAACAGAAAAAGAAAATAACTTAGAAAGAGTAGAACTTTTCTAATCTGCAATTTTGTAGATTAGAAATTGTTTTTACTTTTCCTTTTTTTTTTTTCTATTTTTCATTTTTCTCTCTTCTTTTTCTTTTTAATTTACACAAATCTTTAATTCCTACTACATACATTTTAAATTAAATAAATGATCCTCCAATTGTTCTCTTTCTTTCTTTAATTATTTATTTATTTATTTTTCTTTTCTTTCTCTCTAATTTATATTTATTTTTTATTTCTTTTTCTTTTTTTTTTTTTGTAATCGCAATCCTTAGTCCAGTGATTTTCATTCGATTAAAAAAAAAAAAAAAATAAAAAAAAAGAAGAAAGCTCGCAAATTTCAAATCAAACAGAAAAATTGAAATCTAATTGAAAACAATAACACTCAATTATCGAACAGGTTATAAATAAAAAAGAAAAAGAAAAAAAGAAAAAAAAGAAAAAAAAAGGAAAAATGTTACTTTGTCAACGATATCGTAAAAAAGAAAAAAAAAGAAAAAAAAAGAAGAAGAAAAGAAGAAAAGAGAAAAGAAACAAAATTAATTACAAATATTTCGCATACTAAATTTAAAAATGATATAAGGATTATAAAAAAAAAAGAAGAAAACGAAGAGGAGAAAGAGGAGGAGAAGGAGAAGGAGAAGGAGGAGGAGGAGGAGGAGGAAAAAAACTTTTAATAATTCAATTAAATGAATTAATTAATCTCAAAATATCTTACCTGTTTCCAATCGAAATCGCAAACTAATCGTCCTCCAATATTATTAATCGTCGCCAAAGGAAAACGAAAAAAAAGGCGAACGAAACGAAAAAAGAAAAAAGAAGAACGAACGAAAGAAAGGAAAAAAAAAGAAGAAGAAGAAAAAAAGAATGGCAGAATCGAAAGAAAAGAAAAAATATTAACGAATGACAAAGAACATTTCTCTAAGAATAAAAATTGAATTAGACGAAGTTCAATGGATGAATGTTCAATGGGAATGGCGAAGGGGGAGATGGACGGGGGGTGAGGGGAGGGCTTGGTGGGGGCATGATAATTCAAAGATCGCACAAAGTGTATATACGGAAATACGAGGTGGTTTATTATAATAATATTTATAATCATTACGCATCGCGCGGCGGCCTGTCTGTCGTCCTCCATGTTTCTTTCGTTCGTTTTGTTTTTTGTGTGCTTTTTTTCTTATTTTTTTTTCTTTTTTTTTGTATATATATATATATATATATATATATATATATACATATATATATATATATATATATACATATATATATATATATATATATATATATATATATATATATATGTATGTCGCACATCTCTCTCTCTCTCTCTCGCTCGCTCTCTCTCTCTCTCTCGCGAAAACGTTGCCTTTACAATACATCATATACTCTAAACATTTCTTTATAAAGAAATCATCATCATAATCATCGTTATTATGATCATGATAATCATCGAATATCGATCTCTCTCTCTCTCTCTCTCTCGCACTCTCTCACTCTCACTACTAATTTTATTATTATTATTATTTTCATATTTTGACTTTCTCTCTCTCTCTCTCTCTCTCTCTCTTTCTCTTCTTCTTTTATCCCCAACCCCCCGCCCCCCCCCGCTCCTCTTTATTTCCCTCCACGTTCGAATTGGTATTTTTTTTCTTCTTTTATTATTATTATTATTTTTTTTTTTGTTATTTCTTTTTATTTTTTTCGTTTATTTTTTTTTTTTTTATATATATATATATATGTATGTATAGCCCGCTCGCATGCGAAAGACAATGTTATTTACATCGAACGCCGCCTTAACAAATACAGATTACACGTTCCTATTTATATTTATAATTGTAATAATTAATTCATACAACGTGTGTGTGTGTGTGTGTGTATATGTAAATGTATACTCTACCACAATAACATGGACGTGAGTATTCGTATGTGTGTTTGTATGTGTGTGTGTGTGTGTTGTGTGTGTGTTGTGTGTGTATGTGTGTTAAAAATTGAACGTGTGTCTCGAGTGTATACAACAGCGGATATCTACAGGGTGTCCCGCAAAGTAACGTTCGAAATTAATCAACAAGGATGATACAATATTACACGATAGGGGCGGTGAGGGTAGGGGGTGAGTGACCGGGCCGGGGGGTAAGGGTTCTCGAATTTTTTATACACAATAATAATAATAATAATAATAATAATAATAATAATTAGGTAATAATAATTAATAATTAATAATTAATAATAATAATAATAATAATAATAATAATAATAGTAATAATAATTAATCGAAAATATTTCATATATAATCAATATTAAAAATTTTAATAATTAATAATATTAATAATAATAATAATAATAATAATAATAATAATAATAATAATAATGATAATAATAATAAAATAGCGACGTCAACGTCATCACGTCGACGGCTATAATAATAATAATAATAATAATCATAATAATTAATTAACTAATTATTAAAATTGTTTAGAGCGACATAAAGAAAGAAATATTAAAAAGAAAAAGAAAGAAAAAAAAACCTTGCAAAACGAGTCGTCGCTTTTTTTTTAATAATAATAATAATAATAATAATAATAATAATAATAATAATAATAATAATCGTCTCCGTTATTATTAATATATATATATATATATTTTTTTTTTATACAGAAAACGAGTAGTACACGTGGAAGGTTGTAGGTCTCGTCGAGTTCGGTTTTTTCCCTTAGATTCGTCCTTTTTTTTTTTTAAATCCTTTTTTCTTTTCTTTTTTTTTCAAATTTATTACCACGAATTTCTTTCAAAGAAAAAAAAAAGAAAAGATTGAACGAGAGTAAAATAAAATCGTATTGTACGTATGCGTGTGTATGTGTGTGTGTGTGTGTGTGTGTGCGTGTACGTATGTGTGTCTTTAGGAAAATTCATATGTTCAAATATGGCTAGACCAATCGTGTAAGAAATTTTCAAAATTTTGATTATTTCTTTCCTCTTTTTTTTCTCTTTTTTGTTTTTTTTTTATTTTTTTTTTTTGTAATTATTATTATTATTTTATTCTTCGGAGGGAAATGAGAATGACCCGTTTTTTGTTTTCCTTTTGTATGTCTATGCTCGAGTACGTGTACGTATGCGTGTGTATATGTGTGTTTGTGTGTGTGCGTGTGTGTGTGTGTATGTATGTATGCGCGTGTTTTTTTTTTAAATTAAAACTCGTACTACCAGGCTAAACCTTCACTCTGCATCTGGTGAGGCTCGAGAAAGCCACCCCCACCACCACCGCCGCCTGGTCCTCCACCATTACCCCCACCACTAGGATTACCCTGCGCTCCACCTAAGACAAATGATCATTTCAAAGTGATTATCATTTGCTATAAAACAAAAAAAAAATTATTAATTCGACGATTATTTACAATGTCATTGGTCTTACGTTGAACTCTGAGAATTATTATGTATAATATGATAAAAAAAAAAAGTAAAAGAAAAATATATATATATATATGAAAAGTTATGAAATTATGAAATTATGAAATTTCATATTTATGAACCATAAATATGAACCATAAATATGAATCTCCTTTTTTTGTTCTTTAACAAAGCAAACTTAAACATTTCGTATTTTTTTTCTTTTTTTTTTTAATTATCATCTATCGTTATTTCAAAATAAAAAAAAAAATATATGAACAGCTATAAACTATGAAATGTCGTATCTATGAACCACAATTATGAACTTTTTCTTTTATCAAAGCAAATTTAAATCTTTCGTTTCTTTTTATTGTCTTTCATTATTTCAAAAAAAAAAAAAAAAAAGAAATGAATAAATAAAATAAAAGTAAAATTACAAACTATGAATTAATATAAACGTATGAACGTAAATATGAACGTAAATATGAACTATATTAATAATACGTAGAAATAAGTGAATTATTAATTATGTGATTTTTGTATCCGAACCAAATATGAAATATGCGAGTATTGTGTATAGAAATAAAAAAAAAGAAAAAAAGAATTTTTAAACTTCGAAATTTCATTTATGAACGTAAATATGAACAATATAAATAATACACGAAGAAATGTCCAAAAAATTGTGCGAGCGTAATCCATGAAAATAAACGTAAATCATATGAATAATATAAAAAAGAAATTAATATAGCTTATGAATTATAAAATTTCATATTTATGAACGTAAATATGAACTATACTTATAATAAATGAATTATGAACTATAAGATTTCATATCTGAACTAAATATGAACTATACGAGCAATATATATATATATAAAAAAAATATTTATGAATTAGGAAAGTTCATATTTATGAACGTAAATATGAACAACAGAAATAATACACGAAGAAGTAATGAAAAGAATCGTGTGAGTTATGAAACTTAAAAAAAAAAAACAAACAAACAACCAATCAAAATCTATGAAATTTTCATGGGACATAAATATGAATTATAAAATTTCATATGAACGAACACATGAAAATATGAACTAAACTAAAAATACGTGAAAAAAAAAAAGGATAATTTATCAAAAAATCGTGCGAGCGAATTTATGAACTTGAAGAAAAGAAACAGGCAATTATCATCAATAATAAAAACAATAACAACAACAACAACAACAACAACAGAAAGAACAACAAAATATAAAAGAAAAATGTATAAAATTTCATAAATATTAATTGAAATAAATGAAATCCAAATGAAATGTAATATAATTCATCAGAAATGATTCATTCACGTTAAATGATATTATCGTTAGATAATGTAGTAAGAATAAAAATCTTACCTGAAGGTGCTAGGAACTCTCCGGGGCTGCCACCAGTTGGTGCAGGAGGCCCCTGCCCAGGGGGCCCTGTTAGAAATTCCGGAGGACCACCTCCCGCACCCGGAGGTGGATACTCCCCTGTCACCGCCACTGCTGCTGCCATACCCGCTAAACTAGCTGGATCTAGACCTGTCAAGAACAGATTACGTACTGCTCAGAGAAGATCGTATCCGCCCGGCCATCTCCGAAACCGGCTGCTTCTCTCAATTTTATTATTATCATTATTAATACTCTAATAAGATTTATAAACATAATTTCTGGTTTATATTCCAAATTTTCTTTAAATGAACATTAGAAAAATTATTCCTATTATTATTATCATTTTTTTTTTCTTCATTCAAATCATCGATAACAATCAATTTACGGATTATTATCAAATGACATATTATTAACAAATTTCTTATTTCTTACCAGGATTACCTGGTCCAGCGAAAGGTGGCCCATGGGGATGTGGGGGTGGATGGGCGCCAAAAAATTCCGGATGAAACGTAACGGGACTACCATAACCAAATTCAAATTTGTCACCGAAATAAGCGAAACTAGGTGGTGGACCATCCTCACCGCCCAATGCTGGATTAAGATTCAATGGGAAACCACGGATCTTTCTTGAGCCAGCATAATACGGGCTTCTACCTATCGACGTTAATTGCTTCAACCTTCTCTCTTTGCTCCTCTTGTTTTGAAACCAGACCTGAACAATAAAACATAATATCTCTCTCTCTCTCTCTCTCTCTCTCCCTCTCTCTCTCTCTCTTTCTCTCTCTCCCTCTCGCTCTCCCTCTTTCTCATTCTTAACATTAGAACGTACAATCCAGACGTGAACAGTTGTTCGAATTAAATCATTTATAATTTTTAATTATTATCAATACGAGTATCAATGAATTGATCAATAGAAGATTTTGAATTTTTGGATTTTAAAAAGATGTGCGAGTTCAATATTTTCTTTTTTCTTTTTTCTTTCTCTCTCTCTCTCTCTCTCTTTCTTTCTTTCTTTCTTTCTTGGTTCTTTTCCTTCTTCTTCTTCTTCTTCTTATTCTTCTTATTCTTCTTATTCTTATTCTTCCTCGACAGACTTTTGCGTTCCCGTGACGATCGAGATGACGCCGAGGATCTCGTTCATTTCGTACGACGATCTTCGATCAAATTTCGCGGAACATTTTCAAGGTCAATCGTACGAACCAATTTCTTTTTCTAACGAGTATATCGTACCTGTTAGTTTCTACGTACGGTTATCAAATCACGCTATCGATCCTTGGCTGAATTGAATATATTGTCGAAGACTTTCAGAAAAAGAGAGAGAGAGAGAGAGAGAGAGAGAGAAAGGCCATCCACGTGAACCCACTTACTATTAGTATGCCACATATTATCGTGCCATTTCGTTCGTTAACGTCTACTCCGCACATTGTTCTCTTGTCGAATGAAACCATTTAATGGAACACACCCACACACGCACACACGTACACACGCACACGCACACACATACACGCGCGCACACACATACATACATAAACACACGTTTATCACTGTAATCAATTTTGACTTAGATTGTCAACCTGCCGATCGCTTCGTTACGGAAGCAAGTCAATAAATTCTCTTTCGAATTCAAAATCCAATGATGAAATACTACTTCAATGATTCCAACGAAGAATTTTCTTTACGTTCGCTTAATCTTCAATTTAAGGATTTCCTTATGGAATCCAAATAATTCCGTTTCATTGTCAATTTCTCGAATTTCTTACGATTTCGTTTTCACGTAAGATCGCGACCGTCGGAACGATCTTCGTCCAACGTTTCATTCATTATTTTCAATGATTTAAGATCTTACGAGTGTTCCTCCATCACGTTTATTCAATTTTATTTTGCATAAGAAATGAAAAAAAAAAAAAAGAAAAAAAGTAATAATAAGCTAAATTATACTGTACTTAACGTGAATCTTTTCTAATCGTTGTTTTAAAAATCTATCTATCAATGAACATTCTCTAAAATTTCTATCACGACAATGTATCTGAATAATTTTCACGAATTTCGAATAAGAAATTTGAAATTGATTCGTGATGTCTTTTTTTTCCTTTCCTTTCACTTTTTTTTTTTCTTTTTTTTTTCGTTTCTTTATTTTTTAAACAATTCCACATAACCTTTCGTATATCTCGTTTAATATTACAAATTTTTATCTTATTTCTCTTTTTCTTTTTTCTTTTTTCTTTTTCTTTTCTTTTTCTTTCTTGATTTCAACGAAAAATCATATAATAAATAACAATCAAAAATCTCTTCGAAATCTTAGGGAAAATTTTTACGATCATATTTGAAAAATTTCGATGTGTCCCAAAGTAACCATAAAATTTCATTCGACAGATGGTTGTCTAACGGGATAATGTGGGTGTCAGGTGGTGGGTGGTGGTATTGGTAAGGGTATAGGTGGAAACAAGAGGAAAAAAAAGAAAGAGAGAGAGAGAGAGAGAGAAAGAGAGAGAGAGAGAGAGAAAGAAAAAAAAAGAATATATATATATATATATATATATATACATATATATATGTAATTGTAAGAACCTGTATGACTCTCATGGGCAATCCAGTTTCCTTGGCCAATTGTTCTCTGATATGCCTTGTAGGTTTCGGCGTAGATGAGAAAGCGTTCTTCAATATCTCCAATTGTTTAGCTTTGATGGTTGTTCTGGGACCTCGTCTTTTCGATCCCGCACCGCCATCCCCACTACCACCACCTGCACCACCATCAGGACTCTTGTTTTCCGTTTGACTGTCTCTCGTTTCTGGGTCACCATCCAGGGAACCTTTGAAATGTTTCAGGAAGAATAAGTGGGATATCGGGAGTGGGGGCCGGGCGGGTTAGGGGGAAGAGAGAAAAAAAATCATTTTAATTCTTACGAGATCGACGTATTATTCGATGGAAGAATTAGACGATAACAGATAAAATGTATTATACAGGGAGGGGCGGGGCGAGGCGGAGGGGGGGTGTGTGTTAGTATGGGGGGGGGAGTAAGGGATTGCAATCTAAAAGCAAATCCCTTTCGGAAACCCCATTGGATTATGGTGAATGTTATGAAAGCCATACCTACTCTATAAGCTGTTGCTATATATATATATATATATATATATATATATATATATATATATATATGTATATATATGTATATGTACATAGGAGAGTCTCTCTATCTCTATCTATCTAACTATCTGTCTCTAGTAACCTCTGTCTCTCTCGCACTAGTTTGTAATCTATATACTATGGTAAAGGTCTTAACCACGGGACAAAGAAAATGTTTGGACAGTGTCACTACGATCGAGTATGGTCACACCCCCTCCCTCCCTCCCTCCCCTTCCTCCTCCAACCCTTAAAAGTACCCTCTACTTCTTCTCTTTCTTTCATACTTATGTATGGTCTTCTTTCTATGTATATTTATTTGTCTGTGTGTGTGTGTGTATGTGTGTATGTCACTCGTGTTCTCATTGTTGTGTTCACGATGAAAGCAACGCGAACGAATAATGGTTGGAAGACCTGCGTGTGAGCTTTTGTAAGCTCGTCGAAAGAAAGAAGCAAACATCGAGAGACCACCCTTGAACGTCCTTCGGAATTGGGGTGAGAGTATTCGGGCATAGAATATTTTTTTTTCTTTTTTTTCTTTTTTTTTTTTTTTTTTTTTTTTTTGTTAGATATATCTTTTTCGTCCGATTGAGACGTTAATCGATCCGCGAAATAGAAACTGTAATGACTTGCAGTTATTGGAAGTTTGATAGTTTTACTTTTTTTCTTTTTCTTTTTCTTTTTCTCTTTTCTTTAGTAATTTTTATAGGGATTTTTTTATTTCATTCAAAAAATAAAATCAAATATAATAATTTGATTGGCACGATATCTCGAGAGAAACAGATCGGTTTTTTATTTATTTAATGAATTCCTATCTAATAAATTCCTAATGATAATTGATAAACATAACCTCGAAATGAAATTAAATAAAAAGAACAATTGGACCTGGGATTAAATATATAAAAGGAGATCAAATTAATTTTTTACCTTGATCCTCAGAGTCCTCCTGTTTGCAAGGATCAGTCACAAGTTGTAGATCACCAGTATGTCCAACATTTTGGTCACCTGGACCACCAGGACCCATATTGTGTGAACCTAGATGTGTACCGCCGACACCCCCATGATGATGATGGTGCGCACTACCGTCCTCGTCCTCGTCTTCCGATCCGGAACCCATCAGTGAGTCTCCTCCTGCCGACAGGTTGGACGATTCTGTCGTGAACGATCCGAACCGTATTATTGTTATCAATTCCTATTACATCTATCCTTGTTTTTGTTTTTTTTTTTGTTAAATTTAATTTTTTTTTTCATTTGTTCGTTTGTTAGTTTAATTTCGTTGCTTTTTTTCAACTTAAATAGCTCATTCATTCTCGCATTGAAACATCCAACTTTAGAAATTTCTTTTATCTTTAATAAAATGTCCGACATTATAACCTAAATTTTGATTTTGATTGACGTCGATATACGTAGATTGAGTTTAATTAATACATTTTGTCATGGGATCTATCAAAATGGCGGACGCATAATCTAACAATTGATTTTAATCGACAATCAATTTTAGGTTAGGTTTGATTAATCCTTTCTTTATTTTTTATTTTTCAAAATGGCGGATACAAGGTATGAAATAATCTGACCAATGGATAACCTAACTTTTTCTTAATTTCGATTAACACCAATATAGTTTGATTAAATATTTCTTTTTTCCACGTAAAAGTAATCTACAATTTAACTCTCGACTTTTATTATTATTATTATTATTATTAACAACGATATAAGTTAGTTAAAAAATTCTTTTAACAATAACATTTGCCAATCGAAAAGTTTTCAATTATTATTCATCATCCAATAATTTAAACAAAAAAAAAAAAAAAACAAAAAAATTATTCGCTTCTAATAAATTCAATCGTAGTGATCGTCGATGCGTGAAATAATATACGCAAAAGCAAAGCGCACATAATTAATACATAATAAATCATAAGAAAATTCAAATTAAACGTTCAAATTTCGATTTAATTGGCCAAACAGAATCAAATTCGATCAATCCACCGATAGAAATAAACCCGACTTAAAATCCGACAAAAAAAAAAAAAAAAAAAAAAGAAAAGAAAAAAGAAAGTTTCTCTCACCTACCGATTTAATGCGGAACAAAACAGAACAGAAAAGAACAGAAAAGAACAGAACAGAACAGAACAGAACAGAACAGAACAGAACAGAACAGAACAGAATAGAACAGAACAGAAGAGAACAGAGTAAAAAAGAAGGAAGAAAAAAAAAAAGAAAAAGAAAAAAAAAAAGACCTCAAAAATCCAAGCGAAAAGTCGAGAGACAGAGAGTTATTTTTTTAAAGGGGTGGTGGGAGCTGTAAAGGGGGACGGCAGAGGTTGTGGAAAGGGGGATGGGGGGCTGAGGAGGTGGCAGGAGGGGGCTTCGAGAAAAGGGGTCACAGTTCAACGCGCCCAACGCCAGGGATTTTACGGAGTCAGTATCGTTCTCTCTCTCTCTCTCTCTCTCTCTCTCTCTTTGAACGGGTAGAAGAGAAGAAGGATCGGGAAGAGTATGGGGGGTCAGGGGGGATTGGGGAGGAGTTGAGGAAGGTTAAGGGGGTGAGGTAGGGGGTTTAGAGAGGGAAGGGTAGTCGAAAGCCAGGGTTTCAGCCCTGTGTCAGCGGCAAGCTGTGAAAACACGATGCGTGTATGAGACTCGATATATGTAAGAGAGAGAGAGAGAGAGAGAGAGGGAGAGTTTAAGGGTGGGGGAGGGGGTACAAGCGGGGAAAAGGGAGAGGGTTAGGGCCGTCTCGGTTTCACGAGGAGCTGCTCGTTCTCGTACATATAAGCCGTGAAACGAAAACCGAAAGGTCGTTAAGCAGGGGCAGCCTTTTGTCGCTACGATGCCGACACCGAAACCGCAAACTTGTTTCTTTTTTTTTCTTTTCTTATTCTTTTTTCTTTTTTTATCTTTTCTTTTTTGTTTCTGTTTTCTGTTTTTCTTTTTTCTTCCCTTAATTTTTTCCTTTCCTTCTTTCTCTCCTTTTTCTATTATTTTCCATTTTCTTTTTTTCTTTTTTCTTTTTTCTTTCTGTTTTCTCTTTTTTCTTTTTTATAATTTTCGTCCTGCATTTCACGAGAGAGAGAGCGAGAGCGAGAGAGAGAGAGAGAGAGAGAGAGAGAGAGAGAAATACAAAGGGCCATCAGAACAGAAGGGCGCCTTCGTCGAAGGAAAGATTTTGATGGGCATGAGGATGGTAAGAGGGGCACGGGGGTCAATCCGGGGACCAATTGGCAGATGAGGTGATGGAGCTGGGGAATGGAAGGGCTGGGAGGGGTGGGGGGAGGGGAGGACGGAGGACAAGAAGGTACGAAGGACAGCACGGATCTTCACGTGACCTTCGATCTCTGTTACACGAAATAGACACGAATTTATTGATGATACGTATTATCTTTTTGATAATACGAATTATCGATTTATAATTCATTAGAGATCATTAGAAATAATTAGATATTTTGGATCTACGTTAATCTTCAATCTACGTTTTGATCGACGATAACGTCCTCTTTTTTCTTTTCTTTTTTTTTCTTTTCTTTTTTTCTTTTTTCTTTTTCTTTTTTGACTTTTTACGATTTGGACTCGTTTTATTTGTTGTCCGTTTTTTTTTTTTCTTTTTTTTCTGGGGGGGAAATGATCGATTCAATGCAATATAGATCTTGTCGATTGGAAATCGTCGAAGAACGATCTATCGTTCTATTCAAATGTCCGCCTTTTTTTTCTTTGACCTTTTTTTCTTTTTTGTTTTTGTTTTTCTACCGCGACCAACGAACAAATATCCTTCGACGATGATTACGATCATTGAATCGATTCACAAACTGTTATCATTACGTTAATCATTGAATTAACGTGCAAATGATAATAATTGTCGTAAATCTTTTTTATTTTTTCTTTTTTCTTTTTTTTCTCTCTCTCTCTCTCTCTCTATATATATATATATATAATTTATTAATCATTCGACGGATCGATTTGTGTATTAATTAATTAATTTAATTACGACGAAAAAGGCAGAGAAAAGATGAAGAAAAGAAAAATCACAAAATGGCGATCGAATGATTTTATCGAAAAGAAAGAAAAAAAAAGAGGGTGGGGGGGGTAAGAAAAGTTGTCTAAATAAAGTATTAATTAATTAATTTAATTACGACGAAAAGGGCAGAGAAAGGACGAAGAAAAGAGACGAAGGAAAGAAAAGAAAAATCACAAAATGGCGATCGAATGATTTTATCGAAAAGAAAGAAAAAAAAAGAGGGTGGGGAGGGAGGGGGTAAGAAAAGTCGATCGATCGTTGGAACGTCGAAAGAATCGAGAATTAATTTGGAAGAACGTGTTAATTGAGATAAAATGAAGTAAAAAAAAAAAAAGAAAAAAAGAAAAAAAGAAGAGAGAAAAATAAGTAAAAGAAAGAAAAAGAAAAAAGAAAAGAAGAGAAAAAGAAGAGTAAAAGAAAGAAAAAAAATTTGTCAAAATGAATGAAAAACTTACCGTGATGGCCATGAACGTGATGAGTATCTGGGATCGATTTTCCGGACATGTAATCTTGCTTGCAAACGAATTTGTTGTCGTCCAGAATGTAAAGTTCCTCTCCGGTGCTCATCTTCTTTCGACAGACCACGCAGGTGAAGCAATTCAGGTGGAAAACCTTGTCCCTTGCCTTCCTGACTAGGTCCTGTGGTCCGATACCTTGAAGGCATCCGCCGCATTTCGTTCCGTAACGTCTGAAAGAAACGAATGAAAAGATATATATATATATAAAAAAAAAAGAACAAAAAAAAAATTGCAAAAGAAGCGACATAAAAATAAAAATCCAAACCTCAAAAAAAGATATACATATAAATATATAAATTGAATTGAATTTATTCGAGTTAATCAAAATAATTTATCGAATTGATCGAACTAATTCAATCCATTCGTTCAATCGATCGAACATCTTCTCAAAATCCTTCCGTCGATCTATGATTAATAATACATCTGTCGTTAGATAAGAAATGTTGTCTGAAAAAAAAATGTAATCATCGATCGTTCGAATGTACGCCATGATCGATCGAAGGTAATGAAAAGAAAAAAAGAAAAAAGAAAAAAAAAAAAAAGAAACAAAAAAAAAATTGGACCGATCTTTGGCACGTGGCATATAACCTGATCGTACGAAAGAAAGAAAGAAAGAGAGAAAGAAAGAAAGGAAAAAAGAAAAAAGAAAAAGAAGAACAAAAGAAAAAAAAAAAAAGAAGGTAATCCTTATCGCGTCAAACGTCTCAATAAAATAATCGCACCCTAATCGATCGTGAAACAAAAGGCAATAATTAGATTGAACCACAGCAATAACACGTAACACCCTTTTACGAAATCCTCATCGTTTGTTTGCTCTTCGACGTATCGTTTGACAAGAGTAATAATTATCCCACTCCTCACCTCCAACCCTCCACCTGCCCTTCCCTCATGCCACCCTTCTCCCTCACACTCCCCCCCTGTCCCCTCTCATTTAACACAGCAGCCCAATGCAGCCCTGAAGCTGCTGCTGCTGCTGCCCAATTCCGCAGGTCCGTTCCGCGGACCGAGGCAGGTTTGAATGAAGAAAAGAAGAGAAAAGGAAAAAAAAAAGAAAAAAAGAAAAAGAGAGAGAGAGAGAGAGAGAGAGAGAGAAAAGAAAAATACAAAAGATTCGAGCAAAGAAAATCAAATGAAGGAATGGCTCGCGTGATAGCTCGAAGGTATACAGTAGAGAATCGGATCGGATCGGATAGGAGATCCGGTCGGACTGGACCGTTAATCCAAAAAACCTAATCAATATAATATCGACACACTTCCTCGACAATTTCCTCAGGCATCTTATATATATATATATATATATATATATATATATATATATATATTTACACATACATATTTATATGTATATATATATATATATATATATGTATCACACTCCTGAAGTAAATAAAATACATTCGAATGATTACACGATATCCAAACCTCTAATACGTATAATCAATAAGACGCAACGCAACAATTTTTTTTTTCTTCTTCTTCTTTTTTTTTCTTTTTTTTTTTTTCTAAACTATTCATCAACCTGTCCAATATTATTAACTCGTAAGGAAAAAAGCAAAGAGAAAAGGAAGAAGGAAAGAAAGAAAGAAAAAGGAAAAGAAAAAAAAAAGCAGAGAGAGAGAGAGAGAGAAGAAAGACAGCAAGCAAGTCAGAAAGTGTTCGTCTTCGTTTCTTGGGCCACTTACTTCGTGTGAATAAAAAAAAAAAAAAAAAAGAAAAAATAAGGAAAAAAAAAAGAAGAAAAAAAAAATCCCCGCATAAGCTACCGAGTGAAACGAGCGAATGATAGTCGTTAAATCTTTTTCTTTTCCTTTCCTTTTGTCTTTGTCTCTTTTTTCTTTTTTTTTTTTTTCTTTTTTTTTTTTAATCGCTGTTGCCGTTTGTCGTGATTCTCATTTTTTGACTCTTTTTCAACCCTTCAATACACACACACACACCCCATCCCACCCTACCCTCCACCCCCCTCTATCCAACACCGAACGAACTATAATTGTTTTTCTTTATTTTCTTTTGTTTTTCGTTTTGATTTGTTTTGTTTTGCAGATAAGAGAGCTGTCATTCTCTCTCTCTCTCTCTCTCTCTCTCTCTCTATCTATCTATCTATCTATCTATCTCTTTCTACATTTGTCAAGTTAATAACAGGAATTATTTAATTAATAACAGAGCAATTAGAGATGATCTCCTTCCATAGTCTCACAATGTTCAAATTCAAACTCTTACATACAACAAATCTCTTCATCTCTCTCTCTCTCTCTCTCTCACTACTTTCTTCTACCACTTCCTTTCTCTTTGGACTTTTTGTTTCTCTTTTTCTCTCTCTCTCTCTCTCTCTCTCTCTCTCTCTCTTTCTTATTTTGTTGTTTTTTTTTCTTTTACCTTCCTCATTTCTTCTCTTTCGATTTTATTTTCTTTTTTCTTCTTCCTTTTTTTTTCTTCTTCTTCTTTTTTTTTTCTTTTTTTTTTTTTTTTTTTTGCGTCGAAATGCCTCGAGGCATCGGCAGCAACCTTTCTTCTTCATTCTCGTCTCGAAGGAAAAAGAAGGAAGCGGGAGGTTGGCCCGTAAAAATCATTAATAGAAAGGCTTACGTGGTGTTCACGCGTGTGAGACGCAAGAGAAAGATAGAGAGAGAGAGAGAGAGAGAGAGAGACAGAGAGAGAGAGAATGAGAGAGAGAGAGAGAGAGTGAGTGAGTGAGAGAGAGAGAATGAGATGGGAGTTACCCTTAAAAAGGAGAAACGTAAAGAGAACCACGGACACTGGAATTCTCGGATGTAGTAAAGAAATATAGGACAGGCGGGTCCGAGTTTGAAGAAAGAAAGAAAGAAAGAAAGAAAGAAAGAAAGAAAGAAAGAAAGAAGGGAAAAAAAAGAAAAAGGGGGTGGGACCACTCGACGATTTGCCACGGACCCAAAAGGTACCGAGGTAAGGATAGAATGAGTGAGAGAGTAAGAGAGAGAGAGAGAGAGAGAGAGAAAGGAGAGAAAATGTTTCCGTCTCATTTTATATCGTTTACCAGTTGATCGGCACTTGATTCTCATACTATGAGAGTTTATGTTTGCTGGAATAATGAAAAAATCAAAATTTCGTATATATTTTTATGGATTTTAGATATTTAATGATTATTGTGAGGGATCGCGAAGAAAGAGAGTATTCATGGGAGGGGGCGGATGGGGCAATAATGGATAAATCAAAATTTCGTGTATATTTTTTTATGGATTTTGGATGTTTAATGATTATTGTGAGAGATCGCGAAGAAAAAGAGAATTCATGGGGGGCTGGGAGGTCAAGGGGTGACAGTGGGTGGGGGAATAATGAAAAAATCAAAATTTCGTATATATTTTTATGAATTTTGAACATTTAATGATTATTGTGAGGGATCGCGAAGAAAATGAGAATTCATGGGAGGGGGCGGGTGGGGGAATAATGAAAAAATCAAAATTTCGTATATATTTTTATAAATTTTGGACATTTAATGATTAATGTGAGGGATCGCGAAGAAAGAGAGTATTCATGGGAGGGGGCGGATGGGGCAATAATGGATAAATCAAAATTTCGTGTATATTTTTTTATGGATTTTGGATATTTAATGATTATTGTGAGAGATCGCGAAGAAAAAGAGAATTCATGAGGGGCTGGGAGATCAAGGGGTGACAGTGGGTGGGGGAATAATGAAAAAATCAAAATTTCGTATATATTTTTATGAATTTTGAACATTTAATGATTATTGTGAGGGATCGCGAAGAAAAAAAGAATTCATAGGAGGGGGCGAGTGGGGGAATAATGGATAAATCAAAATTTCGTATATATTTTTATGGATTCTGGACATTTAATGATTAATGTGAGGGATCGCGAAGAAAAAAAGAATTCATAGGAGGGGGCGAGTGGGGGAATAATGGATAAATCAAAATTTCGTATATATTTTTATGGATTTTGGAAATTTAATGATTATTGTGAGGGATCGCGAAAAAAAAGAGAATTCATGGGGGGCTGGGAGGTCAAGGGGGGCAGTGGGCGGGGGAATAATGAAAAAATTAAAGTTTCGTATATATTTTTATGGATTTTGGACATTTAATGATTATTGTGAGGGATCGCGAAGAAAGAGAGAATTCATGTGGGGGGGGCAGGAGGGGCGGGTGGCGGGTGGGGAAATAACGAAAAAATCAAAATTTCGTATAAATTTTTATGGATTTTTGACATTTAACAATTATTGTAAAATATCGCGAAGAAAGAGAGAATTCATGGGGGGGTCGAGGGGGCGGTGAGGTAGAGAAGGGTGGAGTTTTTTTTGTCCTAAATCATTAATGTATAATTACAACGACTTATGTTGTAAGTACGAATCTAAAGTATAATTATAAATTGTTATAACATTGATCATTAGTAATCTAATATTTATTTAAAAAAAAAAAAAAAAGAAAAAAATATGATCTATGAAAAGAGAGATAAGAAAAAAAAAATTTAACGTTTGCATCGATATTTGTGATAATGAAATTTTCTTATTTGATATATTTTATGGATTTGATTTTTTTCTTTTTTTTTATTTTTTTTATTTTTTTTTTTAATATCTAACAACGAAGGGGGTTTGTTGATAATTTATAGAAAAAGTTTTCTTACGATTTAATCAAAAAAAAAAAAAAGAAAAAAAGAGAGAAAAAAAACAAGAAAAGAAAAGAAAAAAAGAACCATGACGTCACGATAACGAACACAATCGATAAAAATTATCAATCGTTTTTTGATCAAAAAAAAAAAAAAATACCCTTCATAGAATAGAACATAATCAACGTATAAATCGTCCGTTGAAAAAAATTCATCATTCCGTTATAATCCCAATCAATTATTAACGTAATCATAATATCGAAAAATTCTGATATAGTTGATTACGTTTTTAAATAAATATCATTTAAACGAAAACATTTAATCATTTAAATGTCGTAGACATTTTCCATTGTGATATTATTTATTTCAAAAAAAAAAAAAAGAAAAAGAAAAAAAAAGAAAAAAAAAAAACAAAAAAAAGAAGTAGTTCTTTTTGGTAACCAACATGAAACGTCAAAAGATACGACGGTGAGCTAACGATGAGATATATAGAAATTTATATCCCGTCGGGTAGCTTTTGATCCTTTTCTCCGTTAATCCTTTCCTTCTCACTTTTCTGATTCCCTATCAGGATTATTCG